AGGTGGTAAGCCTTCTTCAGGCGCCAGCATACTTTGTTCAAACCTGAAGAAGGCTCAGCGGCGTGGAATCGAGCTTCACGTGTGTCCACGCGACCATGCGACACACACTGAAGCTGTGTGTGGCTGCGTGTCTGCGCTGGCTGCTGCCTGCGTGTGCAGTGCACCCCCCAGCCACAGAGGTTAATCAGCCTGGCTGTGGGGGAGCAGGGGCTGCAGCCTGTGAAATTGACTTGTAAGCAGCAATGGGGAGGGGAGAGGAAAGCAATTCAATCTCACGCTGAGTTTGAAAGAAACCCTGTTACATCAGCCCTGTGGCTGCTGGCACTGGGAAATTGCTCTCGCCCAGGCTGGGCTACAGCAGTGGATTGTGAAGGTCTCTGGAAGTCAAGACACAATCCCAGTTTGTCTGTGCAAATTACTGTCTACATGGGGACAAAATCTGAGACAATACCCGCACAACAAGCTAGCATCCTTTCTGTGGAAGCACTTTTGTAATATTCATCCATTGGGGGCTTTTAATTTCAGTTTATATAGAACAGGACGCGTGCACGATGATATTCAGGTCATCGACTGCAATCACATTTTTACTTCTAGTGAGTTCACACTGCTTTTCTCCTGGGTTTTAAAATCCAAACTGAGAGGAAAGACAGAAAATCAGAGTTTTTGTTTTCATCCCGATCCCGGTGTGCATCCCAATCTTATGCTAATGGTTTTGTTTCGGGGAGGAGATGACGATGCTGCAGCGGGCCACAGATCGCTGCGTTCAGGCAGCGCTTGGAAGAGAGATTTGCATTTATCCTCCCTCTGATCTCCCCCAGCGTTCAATAAGGAGCTCACTGAGATTGATGCTAAGTCCCCAATAACCAGGGAGATGAAAGGAAACAAATCTAATTCCGAATATTGCCACATCTGTCTTCGCCTCGCCTCAACGATCGAGGGGTGAAACGGGAGAAGGTGCCACACGCCGTCAGGGAGCTGGAACCTGCTGGTGTCTTTCAGCTGCATTCTTCGGAAACACGAGAGGCTCTTGTCCAGGAAGTGTGCGACACCACAGTCCTGCCACCTCATCAAGATCAACATCGCGCCAGCAGGCGAGGGCCTGTCTCAGCGGAAGTGCCGCGCGTTTGTGTGGCGTTTTTCCACCCCAGAGGATCTCGAGGAGCCTGCTGCCCCGCTGGGGTGAGAGGCTGCTGCACCTGCGGGGTACAGAGGGTAGGAAGTACTGGCCTGTACAAGCCCAGGACGCCAGGGTTAACACACCGAAAAACACTCCTACAAAAAGTGCTTCGACACCTTTCCTGAGCAAGGAGTCAGGACGTTGGCATCTCCTACAGCCCAGGCACCCCATCCTTGTAGTTGGGGGGGGGGGCAGATTGAAAATTCAGGCCCAGAGGGTGTAGTGCCATCTGCCAGATGCCCCCTTTTAATATCTCTGCTGGATTTTGTCCTGTAACGGAGGCAGTTACACCGATTGGCTGGAAATCTATATTTGTTAAGGCCAATAAAAAAAAAAAAAACAAAGTCTGGGAGCCGTTTCAAGAAGAAACTACAGCAGTGGGGTTTTCTTTGTGAACCAGGATCCCTTAATTACGAGTGACAGCCCTGTTGAATTACTACTGTGGCAATCAGTCCCCTTCTGAACAGTCCGGTGAATCTTTCTGGTTATTTGAAAGAGTTTTTCTCCCTGTCTGCCAGCAGCGCCCAGCTCTCCTGTCCTGATTGTGCACCGCTGAGCGGCAGAGATGTGAAACAGAGCAGGCTGGTCTTCTGGCTCCCGGTCCCGAGACGCAGCAGCGCCCGGGCCTGGCCCGCCCTTCCCAGCGGCCCAGGTGGGCAGCGGTAGTCTTATATAACCTGTCAGCATGGGGCAAGCAGCTGCCCGAGACCCCCACTCGGACTGGGAGGAATCCAAGTCCCTTGTCCGCAGGGAGAGCCGGTGAGAGAGAGAGAGGAAATATGCAGCCGGGATAATGAAATGAAAAATGTCACAAGAAAGAAGGAACAAGATAGCAAAAAATCTTAGTGTAATATCTCTGTTTTTAGGCCTTCTGTGCAGCATCGTACACTGAAGAGAATGGAAGGCAAACAGCAGTCTGGAAACCGAGGGATTAACAGGAAGCGCAGACTTCCTGCCGTCCGGGAGCTGTGGTGCAGCTCTCACAGGAGGCTGGGAAAGTTAGTGATCAGCAGCTCCGGCTGCTCGTGATGAATGGTCTCTATCCAGAGGGTTTATTATTTATACTCTGAGCTCTGCTCTGGGGCTGCCAGGAGATATTCACCTGTTCCTCTTTACAATGGCAGACGTCACTTACACTGGTCCTCTGAAGAAAGGAGAGGTTGCTTACAGGTATCAAAGCTGAATTGAACCCATAGTGTTCCAATTGTGTGTGTTCATTCCGACCTTTATACTCCTTTTCCGAAACGATCAAGCTCATGCACAAATTCCAGTCTCAAATGAGCAGACAGCACTGCGCTCGCCTGTAGAAGGGTTTTCCCTACTTCTTCTGTTGTAATTACGTGGATATTGAGCTGCACTGGCACGTGGGCCCGGCAGTGAAGACAGCAGCAGAGTGGATGGTGGAGTGTACGTTCTGTTCGTTTAGCGCCGCAGAAGCGTGCCAGTTGCTAAGATGCGGATGGCAAGCAAACGACCCGAAGACCTACTGCAAGCGCACGGGGAGACAACATCACAAACGGTTTTACCCTTTGACCCGATCAAGGGCTGCCCGTCTCCCCACTGTCTCTTCCAGCTTATTTGATCATTCCATACTCACTCTGCCAAAGGACTCATCGAGCTCCCCCCTTGCGTTCAGGCTCCGCAGAAAATGAAATGTTTAATTAATTCAGGTCAGCGAGCTCCATCTTTATCCTGCTTACGGGAGAAGGTTATAAATGACCCGCTAATATCTTCATTTCAGAGCGAGGTCTGAAGGTCAGATATTTTAGCATTTAATCCTCATCCCTTGGGTGACTCTGTCTTGTTCAACCAATTATCACTCATCATTCGTCAATTCTGAAGGCTGGCTGGCTGCCCAGAGCACAGGCTGTGCTGGGAGTCTGTGACGGCTTGACAAAGAGAAAAGAGTCCAGGGAGGAACAGGGACCTACAAGAGGAGTCCCAGTGGAGGACAACACAATAGCTAGAGGCTCTCTGGGGAATTCGACCGACATCAGCAGAGCAGATCATGGTTGTGCACCCAGAACTGCTGCTGAAGCTCATTCTTAATCTGTTGTACTCCACAGTGCAAAGGTCTGTTTTATTTATTAATATGCAGCGCATGTTAATATCTGCTGGCTCTAGGGACTCTTCTGAATATCACGCTCAATTTAGATGACTTTGGGTGGAAAAGGATGGGCTGCAAATTGCAAATAGCTGCGTTAGTATTCCCTCCCCTGCTACCCAGGACAATCAAATTAGTTCCACGCTAAGCGACTCTGGTTCTCTCTGGTGTGAGGTGGTGGAGTATCAGTTCCAGCATCCAACAGCACCGTTAGGCATAAAGCTGGATTTGTAAAGAGATGCAGACACTCAACCTCCGTGGCAGTCTGTGTGATAATGCCAATGTGACACCTCAACCCTAAATAACTGAATCCCGTTCTTTGTGCATCCGTGATTCAAATCGGACGCGTGTGCTCTAAACTGGAATAGGTACTGGAGTCTGCAGATCCTGGCGACCGGTGGCAGTTCTCTTTGTGAAACTGGGAAAGCTCAATGAACATTTTTGACTGATTTCTAGCATGCTCGGAACGTGTAAGCACCGATGAAGTCAAAAGCAGTGATGCGTATGGCGTTTACACAGAAGTTTGGTTGTAGATATAGTAGTTTGCTGCTGTAGTGCCGTTCCTCTAGGAATATGACATAACAACATGTAGCATTTCTAACACATCACAAAAACACATTGCACTCAAGTGGGTTGTAAGAGTCAAAATTGTGTCATGTCAAAACCCTTGACATTTTTGCGTTGACAGCTTTAATGGATAGTGGAGCAAAAGAACGTTTGTATCTGCTTTGAATCTGCACCATGCTTCTCGGCCTAGAAGGACTTGAAGACCCGCAAAGCCGCAGGCAGTGCGGCATGTTGGGCAGATGAGCCGGTCGTAGATTTGCCTGCTTTGTCTGGGAGCAGTGGAGTAGATGAGGATTCTGGGCTTTCTGGTGTCGGTGCACACGTGAAAGATCAGCGTGGGTTTCAGAATCTCTGTAGATGCATTGCAGACAGTAAATCGAATGCGAGTTTGAACTGGACATTTGTGAATGATGGAAGTGCTCTGGGATTCTGCAGCCAAGTGGGAACTCTATTCTGAACCCTCTCCTCTCTCTTTAACAGCATCTCCGCTGTGCTGAATTGCATTAGATTTATCAGTCAGGTTTGTGAGGAACTGGCTCTAAACTGATTGCAGAGCGTGGTTTCCCACTGTGCTTGCTCGGTCTCGTCTAGGCAGTAATCATCTGTGACATGCAGGCTCAGGTGTGTCTGATTACTGTCTGCGGAACTCTTCTAACAAGACTCGTTAGATCGGAGCACAATTAGCAGACTGTGCTTACAAAATTTTCTTTTTTTTTTTATTGCCTGCGTGTGATATTTCCTCTCCAGGAACGAAAGTCATGCTGAAAAGCTAATACTGGATCAGAAAATATTTTGGGTAAACACAGCTAACACCTGGTTTTTAAGAATAAAATTGTGAGCTGGATGTGACATTTCATTTAACAAGGAAAACACTTTAAATGACATATATACACATCTGGGGAAAAGGGCTAATGGTGTGTCAGAGGTTTAAACACTGTTAGAATTGTAATTGTTCCCGTTATTATTCATAAGGAAATCGGGAGCTGATGATGTTCAGGGTTGGAAGAAAGGTTGATTTTATTAGCCGGAGAAGGTTAACATCATGTCCAGGCAGCGGTTTGGAATTAAGAAGGGTAGCCGAGCTCAGCGTATCGCATCAAGGCTGTGTTCTGGTGCTGACGTGTGTGTCTGCGCTGTGCCCCGGTGTTGCAGGACTCCAAGTTCGTGGAGGAGCGTCGCAAGCAGCTGCAGAGCTACCTGCGCAGCGTGATGAACAAGCTGATCCAGGCGCTGCCCGAGTTCGCCGCCCGCCCCACCAAGGAGACCCTGCTCAAGCTGCTGCCCTTCTGCCAGTGAGTACAGCCGCGGCCCTGCTCCCTGCCTTCGAGAGCCCCCCCGCGCCGCGCACGGCTCCCCCGCAGCTCGAGAGTCCCGCCCGGGGTAGCGGCCCCGCCCCGGGGTGTAGGGGGCCGAGAGGCTCATCGGCTCGAGGCTCTGCCATTTCACTGTCACGATGGCCAGCCAGAGGGTGTAGTCCAGCCCTGCTCGGGGCGCTGAGCACCAGCATACATGAGCGACGCGCCCAGATAGAAGCCTTTCCACCCGCACTCAACGCCCGTTGGGGAGCCGCTGTGCAGAGTGGATGCCACGCCCACTCCGTGCAACGCCCACCTGCTGCCACGCCCACTCGGAGCCCCACCCCCCTGCTGGCAGGATGCCTTTGAGCCGTTAAAAATTAATACTCAAACGGCACTTAAGGTGCTGGATAAGACCTTAACAGGCGAGCACGGGGAGGGAAATATATCTGGTAAAGCCGACTGATGAATAGGGACCTTGCATCCTGGAAAGGCACTGTGGGCCCCCGTCTGCTTAGTGCACCCCGTGCCCTTGCAGATTGGCCACACAGGCGCCCGGTGACTGGTCGGCACGCCTGGTGACGTGGGGCTTTCTCATATTTCTTTTGACATCTGGTGTCTGCTTGCCCGGGCCCAGCGTCCTCTCGTCGGGTCCGTCCCGGGCACGCCGGCGGGGCGACTGCTGCAGCTCTCTGTCCGGGGCCGACCGCAGAACGTTAAACTCCGAGGGACTGGACTTTTAAAATATTCACAAGTTTTGTCTGACTTATGTGGGTGTATTCTCTTCAGAATCGAATGAGGTTCTGCGTCTATAAATTACCGCTGCTGGCGCGCCGTCTGCCCTGATGGACTTTCCGAGCCTTGAAATTAATAGCGGATGACCTTGTTAAATCTAATGCACTCAACCATTTTTGGAATTTATCTGCGTTTTCTCGTAGTGAGCCACATCTCTTTCTCTGGTGATGTTCCAGTAATCTGTATGGACAGGCTCAATGAAGAGCCCCTTAAATGCACATGAATGAACTCCTTCATAGAAAGCTAGCCCTGTGTATGAGTCCCTATAACCTCCCTAGGGTCTAGAGGTTAATTCTCCTAAATCCAAATTAAATCCCTGCTCTCTGTCTGCCTCAGGAGGGGAGCTCCTCCACTCTGTGCCCATGACTTAGGCAGACCAAGATGACTGCTTCGTAATGGAGTTCTCAGACTGCAGGAGGGATTATTATCTGGGTAAAAGAAAGAGCTTAAGCAAAAAAAAAAAAATCCTGTAAGAGCAAGATTGTGAGATTGGGGGAAAAAACAGGCTGAAGTACAGTGCAGGAGAAGATGCTGTTAAACAGCGCTTTAATGTTGCAAATCCAATATGGCATTAAACAACGTAGGAGTACAAAGATCTCATAAATCTTTAGAAAACATCATATTGTGTGTGTGACAGCACTCAACCCCCCACCCCCAGTTTAATTAGAGTCCACATGAGTCCTTGTCCTGAAGCAGCAGCATTTCGGGCTGTATCTCACTGTGATTTAACGTGGCTTAGTGTGGCCCGCACTGTCCCCAAGGACGACAGGAGAGGGGCAGCTATACAGCCAGGTTTGCCCCTGTGTCCCTGTGCTACCGGCACCTTCTGCACAAAAGAGCCAAGCGGTAGGAATGAGAGCAAATTCAATCCCTGGAGGGGAATTCCCTCACAAGCTCCGCAGTGAGAAAGAGAATAATTCAATAGAGGGATCTTATACAGACAGCCTAATTCAATTGCAAACTTCTAAAACTTACTGCACTAAACAAAAGGGAAAATCAGTATCGAAGTTCATTCTCCATGTATGAACGCCTTCAGTGTGTGATGTCTTTTTTCCTCTGCACAGTATTTTTAAGGTTATAACTGTGGTATAAATCTGTAGGTTTTGTTTTTCCCCCCAATACAATTTCCCCAAGTCCCAGCAGAGCCTGCTGCTTTGATTTTATATGTGAGGCAATATAAGTGCGAAGACTTCCTGTCATTTCAGGCACAATGCGTCACAGTAAGGCTCCACCAGGGTCTCAATTAAAGCCCCTGAAAAGAGGAGAACTGGAAGGCTTTGATTCACAGAACGCTGGGAATGTAGGGAGGGAGCGCAACACACACGCTCAACCTCAGTGTAGCCGTCTGCACAGGGCTTAATCCTAAATGTCCATTAAAATTGCCAGCTGCCTGGAGGACAGCAGGATAGATTCTCGGCTCTGTCCAGTCACAGTGACCTCGGGGAAAATACCACTTCCAGTAAATGTCATTTTCTAGAATACGGAGGCTCTCCACCCTACAGAAGCAGTTAATCGCCGATTGCCACGCGGCATCTTAACTCATTAAAATGAAATCCTTCAAATCGCTTCCTTTTTTAATGGATCTCACTGATGTTCATAACTTTGCTCCCCCCCCCCCCGATTAATTGTTCGTTTTAACAGACGAGAGCCCGAGAAGCCCTCTGCAGTCAGGGAGGGCCTGGTGTTGACAACTGTTAAGACCGGGCGCTGCCATCACAGTGCTGCCTTAATGAGAGCTGGAAGTAAGGCAGATATCGGGATGTCAAGTCGAGGTTCGGCCAAAGAACAGCTTTCTCAGTTCTGCCTGTATGTCTTCTGACAGCTCTGACAGCCGTCTGACAGCACGGCGTGCCTTTACCTCAAACTTGAATTTGCACAATGCAGAATCATCAGCACCAATTTTTCATTGGTTCTAGGATTTTATTTACTGGCCGGTCGAAATTACCCTGATAGTGCAAACACTACTTTTTGCTTCAAGGGGATTTATTTGAGTTACCGGTCTATCAGTAAATAGCCCAATTTTATCTTCAGTGTTTTGTTTACACCAGCAGCATTGTTCTTTTAATAAAAGCTAAGGTTACTGACCTGCAAAGTGCTGCTGCCTTTTTAGCATTGCTACTTACTTACCTTTCAGAGCTCGGAGGAAAATTCTTACAGTAAGAGGCAGCATCCTGGCTTGCTGACTTTCAGATAATGCCTTATCCAGCGAGTTGTGCCCTTTAACCAGTCCTTGGTGATTTGTGTACTGAAAGTGGGCCTGACAGATCTACGGTCTTGCTCAGTCGGGTGCAGTTACCTTCTGTAGTTTATTAATGCAGGGAAGCATTGGTGGAAATCTTCACTGCTGTTGTACCGATAGCCTCTGCCAGCGGTTGTTGAAAAAGGCAACACTCAGTAGGATAGCCTCACCTTGAATTTTTGTAGTCGACAGCTGAGCTGAGCTGATTGATTACGCAGCGTTAAAAGACGAGTGCTGCGCAAGTTGCTGGAGCCTCAGTTTGAGACGGAGCTCAGCGCCAAGGCATGTTCGGGCAGCTAGTGGGTACGTGTGCCCCTTGGTACCTGACCATCGTGTTTCAGTCCTCCTGTGGTGGCCGACAGTGTACGAGGACAAAGCCTCCATGAGTAGGAGGGGGCTGTCCTCCAGGAATTGTGGAAGTCTGCTGTGTCTGCCAGACTCTGTCTTACACAGCACCTGCCTGTGCAAGTGCTGAGGCTCACTGAGACTGTCAGTGTCGGCGCAGCAGAGAACCGAGCTCTGGCTGCATCTGTCACGAGCCTGAAACTGAGCCGGGTTTATTCACACCAGGATTTACCCTGAAGCGGGCATCAGGTTTATTTCCGTGGATGTGCCGTCTAGCAGACCTGTACAGAATTAGCTTCCCGAGACCTGCACGAACGAGATCGTGTCATTCAACGGTGGTGTAGTCGGGGAGCTCAATTTAAGCCAGGTGTAGCGGGGAAAAAAGGAGAAAATGCCAGGCGTCCATCTGGATTAAAGAGCTCGCAGCTCTGCACAACTGCTGAACTGTGCACACATTTGTGAAATCAAGTCCAGCAGTTTATGTGCAAAAGGAAGCGTGACGAGTTCCTTTTGTGCTGACCGGCGTGCAGTACTGCTAGGACTCTCCTCCACCTCGCCGTCTCCCAAGTAACTCAGAGGAGGCAGCACAGGCTGTGATTTATTTTTAGATCCCAGACTTGTATTTTTAAATATAGATGTTAACAGCAGTGCTGAACTGAATAATACATTTGTACAGAAGTGTGAAATTCGTGCTCTTCCTCGGGCACAGTGTACAGTGTCTCCTCACATTGCAGTCCAGCAACAGTGTAAGAATTCAGCGTAATCCTCTCACACCCCAGGCTGGCATTTTGCTAGTTTAATAAATGCAGGATATCAAAGAACAGCTCTCACAGCGGGCTGTGATCATTTCTATCCGCCCGACACAGACAGATACAGTCACACACAATGTCACCGTGAAACAGAGGCATTTGAAGCTAGAGTTGAGAATATTTGATGGATAGACAAAGGAGGCTTGACAAGGGGATTTTTCAGAAATAAAAACAGCATTTTTAATTTTGTTCACTCTCAGAAGGTATGTTGTGTTTATCTCCTCCATATAGTCCCATGAGAATTGGGCTGGGCCTACGTCAAGGGTCTGGGTAGGACACAGATCACGGATGGGTCTAGGTTCTGGGAAAGCAGAGCTGAACCTGCTTTAAACTGAAAAGAGTAAAGGATGAAGAGAAACGGACAGCTGCCCTGTAGCTCACGGGGAAGGAAAAACTGCATTTGATTGAAGATGTTGTAAGTTTGTTCTAAGGAACAAGCTGAATGACGTTTGTATCTGAAATTTTCTAAGAAAAGACTCGGGCCTCCTTACAGGAAGCTAGTTAACTCCCGGGTCAGAACCCCTGCTGGGCTGTTGCCATGGCAGCGGAAGGCCATGGCTCGGCGTCATCCTGGCCTGTTCACGTAGGGAGCAGCTCTTCCGCCGCAAGACAGGACAGCGCAGTGTCCCAGTCTTTCCGTGGTGGTCCGGGCCCTGTCATAAACCGGGAATCAGCAGATGAGAAAGGGGATGTGTTGCCAGTGGCGTGGAAGAAGTTGTTGGGGGTTCCTGGAGCCCATTACTAGCAGAAGTCTGGGCCTTACCCTAACTGGGCTCTAATCACAAGACCAGACCGGACGAATTCCCTCTAAGTCTCGTATCCCGTCGGCCCTGTTGCCCTGCCTTCCTGCTCACAGGACTGCGCTGCACCCTGACTGACGCCTGTCGCAAAGGGTCTCTTCTCCCAGTCCTCGGCGTCTCCTCCTCAGAGCTCCTCTGTCGTGGCTGCACACCACTGAGCTACGGCTGTGAAGCGTTCATGGCTGCGCCTCTCCATACCCGTGCGCGTTCCCTGGCCCCCCAAGCGCCGGACTGCCTCCGTGTCTCTGCGGTGGCCACTGACAAGCCACACACCACCGCTAAGGCAGAACTCGCAAACCCCCCCCCCCGTTTAGGAATCAAACTGCGATCAATAGGAATAAGGATGTGAAAGGACAACGGAAATAGAGTTTTAGGTAACGTGCAGCAGCAGAATATGGGAGATGAAGCGAATGGAAATGGCGAGTGTAGTCATGCAGACCGTGTGCGGTTCTCATAGCGGAGAACAGCCGAGTGACTGCGCTACGGGAGAGCCGTGCCTGCGGTCTTGCCCATTTGCCTCGGCCGATTAAGCCGTGTGGCTGCTGGGGGGCCCAGCATGGGCCCGTCCTGTGGAGTTCATTCTCCCACGCTTCCCCGTGACGGCAGGCTGCCCGGCGGAGGGCTGGGGGGCTTCGCCGCGGAGACAGCAGGGGAGGAGGGAGGGTGTGAGGAAGAGGCGGCCCGCTGGGCTCCGAGCTCTTCTGCTCACCTCCTGCCGCTGCCCTGGCGCCGTGCGGACTCCAGGCCCCCCGGCGCCCGCGAGGAGGAGGAGGAAAAATAGAGGCGCAGGGAAATAAGGTGCATTGGGTGTAAAATAAAACAGAGGACTCGGGCAGGGCGGAGTCGCGTGAAACTTTTCAACGGCAGCTTTTAGCGGGCAGGAGCTCTGAGAAAGAGACAGGATTTTCTCAGTCTTGTGATTCGTTTCAGGCCTCACCCTTGGTCCACGACACTCGTAAGTAAAAGTTAAGATCCCGAAAGTCGTGCCACATCCAGCATCGGGGGGAATGCTGTTACCCCCTGTGTGCGGTCTGCCAGCGATGCCTTGGGGTATGTGGTTCCTGCAGCTTGCGTGCGCTGTCCTGCTCCCCCCGACAGTGTGACCCAGCGGGAGCTCATTGCTCTGTCTCTCCTCTCTTCGCAGGGACACCCCCCAGGCCACGGAGAGCGGGACCAAGCCCGCTCGCTCTCGCGTCGGCCCCAGGTTCCCCAAACTGACTCGCAGCCAGAACAGGGAATCCCGCAACCCCGAGCCGCAGAGTGGTGACCTCTGACCTCCCCCCCCCGCCCTGGGAACTGAGGCCGGATCTCCAGCTGACCCTCAGCCAGCGAGAGAACAGGGCTACACGCAAACCTCCGTGCAGAGGGAGCGCCGGGTCGAGGGTCACAGCCAGACATGCACACAAGAGCTACAGAAGACCGGCTGGGTTCAGGACAGAGGTGAAACATTTTATAGGACCATTTCTGGTGCCTGGTTTTTTTGTGAACATTTCGACAAGACAGAAAAGGTGGGAACAGGTATGCTTGCTCAAACCCACGCCGTTGGGAATGTTTAAGGTGCCACAGGAAGAGTCCGAACTCCTGCGGGAGAGGACGGCTCACACCTATCCTCCGTGTTTCCGCAAGCTAAGATTACAGATGTGCTCTGCAACAATATTGTAACCTAAAGCTCAGTCATTAAGGCTGCTGTGCGATGGAGGAAAGTGATCGCAGTACCAAAGCAGTACTATGTGAAAGAGTGGGAGAAAAAATGGATTTTGCTGTCATTGCAGCGATGAACCATTTTGTAGTAGTTTAAATTACAGAAACTGGAAAGGTTACTGAACACAGATAAATGTAAATGTTATATTTCCTGTCGCTATTATTACGAATTATGTTCTTGAAATCCAGTGGGGAGTTCCTGCAGTTTTTGGAAAGTGAGACAAGGTTGAAAATGCCTGAAACACTGTACAGGATTGTAGTCTGCAGTTTTCTTAATGCTAGATTTACGGAGAGGAAAAGCAGATGAGAAAAGGAAGAAAAGATTAATTGTGCGGACAGACAGTAGCGGCATCACAAATGCAGGTATTCAGCGTGCCAGTGACTGGGGTGTGACAGCGTGCAGCTAGTATTGGCAGCAGTGCAGTCAGGCACTGTCCTAGGAGAGGAATCTTTTGGCTAAGTAAGCAGCTGGTATCCTCCAAGCCCTGGTCTAGGTAAAACTGCTCTAATTTGTGGATAGCAGTGCTTACTGTATGCTGTTGTTCTGTGCTGGAAATTCTGCGTCATGCATTCTGTTCACAGAGCAAAGTAAATATCCGCAAGAAGTAGTTAAGCTTTTCCATTATTGTAACAGGTTTTTACTCCTAGGCTGCCAGGAACAGCCACAGAGAAAGGCACACAGAGCCCTGCTCAGTTACCACTGCTCATATTGTTAGCTTGCTCTCCTGCTCGACACTTACCGTTTCACAAGGAAAAAGCCAAACAAAAGCCTCGCGGTTCTTCTGACTGCCCCCACCTGCTCTGCCGGCCCGCACTGATTAGACAGACGTGCGGAACCTCGATGTGCCGCTTTGCACCTCACCCTGCTGCCCAGGGTGTGACTGGCGCTCGTCAGGCGTGCGCACCTTCTCTTAGCTGTGCTGATCATCACTGTTCTCAGCGCAGCAGTCATTTCTCCTGCGGTGTCAGAGAGGCAGAAAAACAAGCTGCTCCCCATTGTTCTGTTTGGGTTTGAGAGAATGGACCCTGATGACGCCCGTTGTGTAGACAACACGGAGGACAGAAATGACTCACTGGCGTTGGGTTAAAAATAGAGCACCCCCTGTTTCACCATCTCTTTTATGACAAAAAAGGGGTAAATTTTATTTCATCTGTTGCTGCTATATAGTTCTGGCCTTGAGCCACACACGCACAGAGACCTCTCTCTTATAGTCCTGCATGCCTGCTCTAATCACGCATGTTGACGTTAGATCACTCGCACACTGTAGTGTCTCACGATATATGTTTTTAAAGAACATATTTTCAACTAGAAGCCATTCAGTGACGTAGGCCGTTGGCGGTCTGCAGCACCGCAGTAGTCTCCAGGAACCTGGAGGAGAGTCCGTCTGAGGTATCGCTGACCCTCCTCCTATACAGATCAGTCAAGGCTTCCCGGAGAAACGTCCGAACGGACTGTTTCTAAAGTTGCAGAAGACCCCCAGCTGGACCAGAGCAGCTAAGCAGATAAGGGAATTGGAGAGCAGGGGAACAAGCAAGGAACAGCTGAAAGGCAGTTGGGATGACGGGGCTTGTATAATGAAACAGGACTCCTTTAGGCCAATAGAAATCAAGATCATGGGCGTAGCGGGTAAAGAGCACGTCATGACTTGGCCGGTGTGCACAGCCTGCTGACCGGGCACACTCCTGAGCAGCTGATGTACAGCTGGCGGTGGGGAACAGGAGCCTCCAGAGACAAATCCCTCTCTGCATGAAGCCCAACGTGCTGCGTTGCTGGGCTGTGCCCAGACTACTGCCCAGGTCAGAGGGCAGTCTGAACAGAGATGTAGCTTTTGGATAGCATTACCCTAATTGCTGATTACACTGACTGCCTTACTGTGAGGCTGTTTGTTTTTCCCGGTGACTTGTCTATTACTATTCACAATGATGTCAGTTTTTTTTTTTTAATCTGGCGCGCAGACACAGGCGAAAAGGACAACCGTGTCTCGAGGCAAAGAGTGCATGAAGGGCACTATGTGTTTTTGTGCCACAGACATTTCCTCACTAAGTTGGCTCCTGCGGTCGATTGACAAAGATCCTCGTGATCGTACTGTGAAGACTGGAAGGGCTTTTCTCAGCTCAAGGAGAAAATGGAAGAACTCGCACCAGGAAGTGTAAATTTATGTATATCTACTCTGTATATCTACAGTGCACATTTTATAGCTACACCTAACTCCTGATATCTTTCTAAACAAAAAGGTGTAGTGTATATGAATAATGCTGTTTTCTCATCACGCAGAATGTGCCTGCAAACGGTATATGAGGTCTCAAGGTGTTCATATAGACAAACTAAATAATTGTATTTGTTATTAGATGTACCATACCTAAAATAAATGTGCTGCACATGTTCGTATGAAGGGCTTTTGGCTGTAAATATGAAAGGTTCATGAACGCTGATCACACACCACACAAGCACCTGCTAGTGATCAAGACTAAGATGGTCCTGGACAGAGAGTGATGGAAATTCTTACCTGCTGCCTCCAGGGTTAAATAGCCCACTGAGAAGTGTGAACTGCAGTTATAAATGTCTGTAAGGGCAGCCACAGAAAATGACAACCGTGCTCTCTCGTTCCATGTCCGAATTTCTCCCCCTTACAAGGGAGGGTTCATTTCTAAACTCACCTTTTTTGTTTTCAGGTCCGCCTCCCCTCAGACGGCTTCCGTTACCGTGTCGTGCTCGCAGCATTAGGGAGTGTTGTTTGCCAAAGGAAACAGGTTAGCTGTCGTTCTGACCCCGCTGATGCATTTTAAAGCTCGGTTCGCTGCAGTTTTCAGTCCTGGGTTTTCCCTGCAGCCACGGAACACCACGGAGCGATCTCCAGCTTAAACGTTATATGACGATGACATTGTAGCTGAGGGACCCCCGCGTTCAAGTCTAGCTCGGGACGCCTGGGCGTGTGGAGTGTGCATGTTCTCCCCTAGGTTCCCCACTGGTTTTAAACCCGCTTTTCTCTCACTGAACAAAAGCCTGCGTTTGTGGCTTGACTGGCTGCTCCAAATTGTGGCCCCCACCCCACCCCTTCTGCCCCTGGGAGAGATGTGGCTAGGCTGCCCATACCTCCTCGCTTACCCCTCTGTCTCTGTGCCAGTGCTGCTCAGAGCCAGAGAAGGAGGCCAGGAGAAGTGCACTGCTGCTGCTCTGGGCTTTGTGCCTGGGAAGCGCCCCATCTCTGCTGGTGCAGACCCAGGCTGGCTTCACGTAAAGATAAACACCACCGTCTCATGTGTGCTGTGGGCTGGTGCATTTGTCTCAGCTGTCACACACTCGACTGTGACAGTGACAGATGAGGGGGTTGAGTAATAACTCTTCCTTCCTCTGATTTGAGTAGATTTTTGAATCATGTTTTTCACAAATAATGAGCTATAATTAGCACCGTGCATATTGCAGTTACTTTTTTCCTGCACACCGGAAGAGAGATCCTTATCAAGCTGTGTAAAATTTTCATTTACAGTATATACATATTGAATTAAGAGACAAAAGACGACTTTTTTTTTTTAAAGAGCGTTGTCTTTGTCTTCCTATTAGGAGCATCGTTATCATCCAGCTGTTCAGTCGCTACAGCCCCTAGGGACACAAAATAAATGTGAAGTTGCTGAGATTTGTGAAATGTTCTTAAGGAGGAAAAACATCGAAGTGCTGACAGGCTGAGATCTGCGTTTCAGGTACAATTCAAGATCAGAGCTCTCTGGACCCTGGGCGCTTCTCGTTGGTTGGTAGTTGTCTCCTAACAATACCCATTTGACACGATTCTTTCCAAACATTCAGAAATCCAATACTGGAAGCGGTAGGCAGAATTTTGAATTTGCTCTACAGGCTAATTTCAGGGAAAGTGTTTAGATCAGTCTTATTTTATTCCTGAATTCATTTTTTTTAGCTTCTTAAAAAGACATTTATGCCCTTGCAAATTTAAAATGATCCCCAAGCTGGTGCCAAAAGTCGCATCAGAACTGCGTTAGGGGGGCCCTGACTCCTCCTGGCGCCCCTGAGCTAGGTGCTGAACCCGTGGCTGGCTCCTTCACTGGAGTGACAATTAGCCATTTCAATGGGCCTATTAATAAAAACACGGTGACTGGCAGAACTATTCTAGCTGTGCCTTTTTCTTTTGAAACAACCTTTTGAGGTTATTCTTTTGAACCACAGAAAGATGTATTATGCATTAGTTATGAAACGTCTTCGCTGAAGGACGAACGAAGAATGCTCTTCCATTTCAGAATGTGTGGCATTAGAATTGGAACATACTGTGCACAGAGCTTCTGTACATTTGTTATTCATGGGCTGTACATATAATTCAGAGGACTGAGGCTAACCAAGGAGGCAGATTTTATTTCTTAACATTTCTTAGACATTTCTGGGGTGCGTTGTAGTGGTTTAGCAAGCAACATTGTCTATAGTGGCTTTGTCGGAAAGGATGTGAGTGTACTTCGAATCCTGTCAGTCTCAGGGATGTGTCATGGGATCGAGAGAGAGATTAGCTGAACTTGGACTTTGTCATGTCTAAGAACTTTTCTTTATAATCTCAAGTTTACCTTGTTTACTTTGATTGTATTGCACCTTGAAGGTGAAGTATGAAACCTTGCTCTGCACCTTCCATTGCTAGCAGGCAGATAGCCCACACACCCCAGGCACTCTGAAGATGCGTTCTCTATGATTTGTAGAGATAAGAGAAAAAAAACAGGAGAGAAAGCCGTAAGGAGGGGGACACTTAGACGAATCTCATTCCAGATCATTAAAACCAGTCAGGTTGAATGCCTCTAGAACTAACCTAGTTGTCTATAAACTTTGCTAATGTCCTGGTGTGCATCACTAGCACACAACCGAACAAAAAGGGGCTTCCTGTGCCACAGGGGCTAGATCTGTTTTCAGACGTACAATAACTTGAGAATAAAAAGCTGAGGCGTCATTATTTACTGCTCGTCTAGCTAGAAAACATTTCACCCAGATCCTGTTTTGTTGTAAACGCACCAAATCCTGTTGTATCCTTTTGCCCTTAAAGCTTAAGATTTTTCACCTTGGCTCAATATAAAAAAAAAACAGACGACTATAACAGAAGTGACACAAGGGCATCTATTATGATAACCTGGTCACTCATTGGACCTTTAAGCACAAAAAACTCAAAAGCTTTTAGACTACCGTACGCTGACATCAAGTACATCTGAATGTGGAATTATACAGAAAAATGCTGGAAGAGTGTCATTTGATGGTAGAAGAAACTGTGCTCCTATGGCCGTTTGCACAGACATGAATGTAAAGAGATGGCCAATGCCACACATAAAGAAAAACAATTTGTACACTGCTGTCCTGCTGTTTGCTATGACCAACAATACCAGCAACAGTAAGCCAGCTGTAAGTCTTACTGCCATGTCATTGTAAATGTATTCCGTTCGCTGTTTTAAAGAGTAGGCAAAAACCTATGTACAGTACATTTTCCTGCAGTTTTACATGAAGAATAACATTTGAAAAGCTGTGTAATTTCTAAAGAAATGGCAAAAATGACACGAGTTTAACACAAGAATACTCGCTGACACAGTGTTGTACTTCGTGTATACAAAACACAGTACACCTGCTTCTTCAGATTATTATTTTTTTGCACACAGGAGCGAGATGATATTCATCTGTTGTTAAAGTCAACGCTACAGTACTTTGTACGGGACAATATTATTGCCTTTATAATACAAGAAATTAATACAGCAGACACTATTGTTCACAAATGAAGTATTGAGTATTAACGCAAGGTTATCTCGTATAAACCCAAAAAGTATTTCGGTTAAATGCAATACTATCTTGTATAAACACAATCATTTTCTCGTTTAAACGCTGTACTAGCTTGTACTATTTTTTTTTTTCCTCCATGGCACTAATAAGCTGCCGTACGGAGTCCAGGAGAGCTCGGAACAAGGAAACGTTAGCTATCACCGGCACAAGCAGCACCAACACAGCAAGGTCTTAAAGCCAAAAGGAACCAGTCTTTCACCCAGTGGGCAGGGATTCTTTCTTACTGGGGGCCTGGCTTTCCACTGGGTAGGGCATTAAGAAATGAGTACAAAAAGTCACTGGCAACATGTATTTGGCACCTGCAAGCCCATCTCTTCTGATCCCACTCCACCGCTGCCCAGCAGCCACCTTGATTTTCTGCTCACTTTCGCACTGGCCATATTTCTCAGAGACGATACAGTACATTTCTGACTACCCTGTCGAGAACTACATGCACATGAACTGCCACGAAAGAACTTGTCCTCCAGAGGTGAGGTGACAAGTGATTGATGTCCTAAAAATAAGCACCTGAAGCTGACACTTTCTTTGGAAACCGCAACGGGCAAGAAAAGTTGGCAGCCTCAAATCCTAGATGACTGCAGGAAACAAACTGCTCAGGCATTCTGCTGATGGGGGATTTGTGGCTCAGACAATGATGTGAACTGCCCCAGTTCTATACGCTCGTGGTGTCAAAGCAATTTTAAAAGTGTTTAATCGTACAGAGGGGATTCGCAAACTGGCACATGCAAGCTACTGTGGTGAGAGCATTTATTAATTCTGTTGAGTGTTTAATCATTCTTGCTAGAGACTGGCTGAAGTTTAGGTTAAATACCTTCAAAAGCACTACATTCCAAAACATGGGTTTGCATGCAACGTTGATAAATCATTAAACAGATAACATTCAGCTAAGCTAACTCAAAGTCATAAATCACATTACCTGGGAGTTTTATAAGCTTCGGTAGCCACAGTGTGTGATTAAAACAAACATGATCACAGCCTAATCACTTAGAATAGAAACAAGAAGGTCCTGATGATAAATCATGCCTTACACTTCCATGGGTTATTAAATGGGGAAAAATAAAAATAACATAGCAGGTCTTTTGAGGATGGCCTAATAGGTGTAAGAAATTTTGGGGCACAAATACAGTATCCAGGGAAATCTGAAATCCCTATCAAAGGGAGAGAAAGGGAGAAGGAAACTCTGAAGTCTCCCAGGGGAGACTGAAATCCCTTCTGGCCGACAGGGGGTCTGTGAAACGTGCGAAGCTGCACGAGGCCACTCGGAGAAAGGAACACGGACATGGAGAGAGAGGACACCGTTCCGGCCCTAACGAGGCTGCCGGCAAGGATCCCAGGGAGCGTGTGGATTGTGGCACTTTGAGACACAACAGGAATTGCTGCAACAAAGGAATCAGTTTGTAAATTATCACACAGAGACTGGTGCCCTAACGGCCGTGCAGGACAACTGAGGTGCTATGAGCAGCTTCTGAAGTGACTGGAAGAGAAATCAAAAGCCAGATACTGTATATATTTTGTCTGAAATAAAAGCAAAAACTTTGATGAACTTTCGGCATTTACAAATAACTATTCCGGTAATTAATAGATTATTTGCCACTTCTCTTCTGATCATATCAGCAACGCCTATTGGCTGCTCATTCGCTTTGATCAGTCATGGGGGAAAAAAAGACCGCTAGACAGGGCATCCTATTCATACTGCGCTGCAGACAGATATCGGTATTTGCTCTGGAAAAATGTGTAAGAATTTCTTAAAGATTAAGGGGGGAAAAAAACTGAAAAATCCACGACATCTCAAAGTGTCCCCGAGGTTCTGGGACAAGGTGGTCATCCCATGTATTTAAAAACATCATTAGCATTTCAGCCCAAATCAATGTGGACTCTGATGTTCTCTGAAGCCTGTCGGCCATAATGAGAACAGCTGAGCGGAGCTCAGGCCCGCTGTGATTTAATATGCCGAGCGACACTGTCACCAGGGCAGACTGGGCCCAGCGTGAGCTTCCTCATTTCCACCCTGCCTGCGGAGGCAGACTGGCCATACGAGCCCCCCCCCTCTCGGGCAATAATTACCCCGTCGCCCCGGCAGGGAGCAGCTCCTTCTCCGGCTGTAATTAAACTCGTCACACTGGCCGAGTCGCTTCTCCCCGCGATCTTCCAGAACGCCGCCTTGCTTCACACCAGGCCTCTTCCTTTGTAGCCCGGTGCCCATCAAGAATTAAAACACGCTGCTCCAAGAGGGTCACGCTGGCTCCTCTGCACAGGAGATCAGGAGAAGCGAGAAGCTGTTTCGCCTCTTGAATTTAGGGGTAACTTTAGACAGAACAGACGGAAGGCCAGAGCAGCAGGGCCTACACTCCTCCTCTTATTAACGGTACGATAGGAGCTCGATTTGTCTCATTTGAGTACAGGACAGTGTCCCTTGTCATCCATCCCTCTACTGCGATGAATTGTCCAGCTATTACGATGCTGTAAATCCACATGAAGTTCAGCCTTTAAATGTTTCACTTATTTGCAGTCCTGGTCAATATTGCTAACCACCACGGATTAAAAACAAAGGGGGAGCTGTAAGAACCATGTGTGTGAAGTCTGCATGTTCTTCCCTGTCCATGTAGCTTTCTCCCCAGGTGCCCTGCTTTCCTACAATAAGACAAAGCTGTCTGGGTAAACAGGTGTCTCCGACTCGCTCCCGTGCGCGTGTGCCTGCGGCCAGACTCTAGCTCACACGACCCCCTGAGGAGGAGGAGGAGGAGGAGGGGGTGACTCAAGCTGGGCAGATGGAGAGCTTCCTCGTGCCGATGTCTCAGCCACTCTGAGGAACCGGAAAGGAGAAACATGGACAGCAAGAATACAGCCCAAGCTAAGCGAAATCTGGCCAGCACAGACTGGTTCTGAGGGAGAACTATAAAGACAAAATACACGTGCAGTGTGATTACTATGCTCTTGCCCACTACAAGACAGCATTTTTACACAAAAGCTGAGGTTAATTTGCAGTATACACTCACTATTTCATAACTGATTCCTGGTACTGTTCATCCCTCAATTGAAATTTAAGGATTTTTTTTTCCTAAGCCGTAAACACTAATTCTTCCATGAACACCAAGTCTTCCACTACGGAAAAAGGGCCGGGAAATTGTGTTGCCGTGCTCTCACTGCTAGACTTGCCTTCACGAGCGCCGAGTCCCTCGCGACCTGCCCTGGGACGACAGCCTGCTTTCCTCTCACACCTACAGTCCCTAATTCTGTCAGTCCCCGCGCTTAACACAGCAGAACACAGCAGCCAGGGAGTTTCTGAGGGAGAGAAGACAAGACCTGAACGAGCAAAGCCCTGTTCCCCAGTCAGCCTTTCCAGGCAAAACGTTATGCAGTTCGAGTGTTTTAGGCTTCTGAAACTACAATCTAATTTCAGTCTTTCTTCCAGCTGCAGTACTGGTTATCAAATCAAATGAAAGAAATGTCTGGAGTGCTTGTATCACAGCCATCAGTAAATGTTAACCTCAAATAACCTTTTAAAAGAAGCATTTGTCTAACCATATAATGACTATAATTGTATCAATGCTGTTACACTGAAATGTTGTTTTTTTTTTGTATCCTGACAGTAGGAAACATTATTAATTACCTACTACTGCACCCTCACTGTGATTAATCATGATGGTGGTGGTTTGTTGGAACAACGGGCTGCCTGTTACATACAGTATAACAATATTCATACTCATCCGTTACCTGGCCCCAGCCCTGAGACGCGCCATGACCTCGACTGTGACAAACGTCATGCTATGAATACTTACGTACTGTACATACCTACTCTACATCTTTTGGAACGACAGTTATAAATGAGCAAAGGTGATGATGCTGGGTTCATCAGACCTAGACCACAATTTCCCCTGTGTTATATTTTAATTCCCATTTCAATTGCCCAAGCCAGAGGGGGTGTTGCACCTGTAACACTGTTAGGAAGCCTACCGTTAATTCCGGGGATCTACTTCTAACTGCTCGATGGGCTACGTACCAATCCGGTCTGCTGCTGTGCCCACAGAGCTCCGAGCGGCCCCAGCTCTCGCCTTCTCTGCTTCCTTGAAAGCTCGTTCATAACCCCAACCTCCAGCCACTTTCTGACTGCTCCACCCAACAGCGGGGTCGCGACGGGGGCCGGAGCCTAATCCAGCAAGAGACGGGCACAAGGCAGGATACGCTCTGGATGGGACGCCAGTTTGCTGCTCCCCCCCCGGCCAGTGGATCTGCAGGTGTGGTGTTAATGTGCCAACGCACGAGGCCGCACGCTGCCTCCCTGTCCTCCCTTTGAGGAGTGCTCCTGGCCGCTGCCGAAACGCCCAGCAGAGTACCGCCGGGCGCCAGATGGAGCCTGCGGGCATGCGGTAAGAAGGGCGGTGCAATGCGTTTAACGCCCAGGCGGACACCTGCCCGCAGGAAAACGGCACCAGCCGCCGTGCCGTAGGAGCGGCGGACAGCCGCACAGCGAGCTGCCAATGCGGTGGCGCCTCCGCCGCCGAAATCCAAGGCTCATTAAATTGTGATTAACGATCACGCCGCCGCAGAGAGCCTGACGCGCTCGTTTATTACTCCCGAGTCGGGTGCCCTTCGCGTGTGGGGCTTCCAGCCTGCCTGCTGGAATATTTCACAAGGGCAACACTCGCACTGTCCTCACCATGACTCCATCTCTGCCCAAGACCTCTGTGGGTGGAGGGCTGCAGTAATAAAGCACTCAGTAGGCGCTGCTGCCTCCAGTTACTGTCACCGTTACACTGTTCCTCTTCTGCATTTCAGTTTCAAGCAAGGCAGGTGAGCTCAACCCTTCTGCTCGACTTCTTTTGAACAGGCGTCGGCAGTAAGGGAGACCTCCGGGATATAAAATGATATTCAGTCAAAGGAGTCTATTTCCTATCATGAGCGAGCCAGGCGATCCCACGCATTGCATACGCAGAATCTGGACTGGTGGCGCACAGGGACTCCAGCAGCACCAGGCAGGAAGGAGCAAGTGCAATGAGGGGCTCCTGCACACTGGACACTGGACACTGGACACAGCAGCTGTGTTGTACGATCGAGCTCTGCTCAAACGTAACTCAAAGCTGTCATGCAGAAACAGGCCACATCTTCACCAGATCCCCTGGACCTCTACAGTTAAGTTACTCTTAAAAGAAAAGTCTATTTTCACAGAACACAGGTCTGGAACTCACTTGGCTACAGATCTTCCTGGAATCATTTCAACTGGATCTCTCAAAAAAAAAAAAAAAACTACCAGCCATGTGTTTAATTTTCTTTGCATGTATCTTCTACTGTTGGTCTGACCTGAAATCTCCTGGCAGTTTAGACTGACCAAAAAGAATTCATTAAATGTGTAAATCCCAAAATTAAATACCAAACAATTATAAAACACCAAAAATAACTGAATGTGAAAGTCTGAAGTGGAGTTAAAAGCTTGTGTGTATGTGGATGGTATTCTATATCTATCTACAGCCATTTTCAGCCCTCTTGTCCTGATGAGGATTGTGGTGTGTCTAACGCAATTTCTAAAGTACCATCAAGCATAAGGGTCTCAGAGACTGCTGCTCCCCGCACTGCAAGAAGCCAAGACAGATTTTTTTCCCCTTCTTGAATAATTATAAACTGCCCAAAAAAAAAAAATGAAATCTAAATTGATAGAAAATGCTTGAAGAGCAACCACTTGTGCAGATGTTGAGGAAGCCGACTGCTGTGAGGACTCTGTGCTGAGGGACTGAATCAGACTGGTCATCTGCTGTGAAAAAGGAGCATCCAAGCTGCACAACAGACTGTGCGGTTCTGCATAGCAACAAGAAGGAACTCTTCCAGAGATTCAACATAAAAAGGCCCACAAAGATCTAATATGAACTGGATTTGTCATCAGTTTGATAACATGGCCCCTGTGGGTGGGGATTCACAAATTACAGTGAAATATAAAAGCACTGAAAGTTTTCTTCTCTGGATGAGACGACACACAAAGCAGGGAGCATGCAGAGGAGTTGGGTGCATTAGTCATCACTGGTGAAGATAAGATGAGTCAAGCAATCATGATGTGGAGCTAGGAAACACTGACGAGCAATGCCAAGGTCTGCAGAAATCTAAAGCCAAGAGTTCAGGCCACTTTGACCACTGCTGGGCACTGGGTCCCATCCGACTTTATGTTCACCAGATGATCACTCATGAATAAACTGTATATTAGTGGGTCGGCCACTTGATTCCAATTGTCCTTGCTATGAGATTTGATCAAATCCCTTCAACTGAAGTGCTCATAAAGTTTCTTCAGTGATAAATCTGGAGACGTACTAACCTATAATTAAATAATTTCCCAGAACAGTTTAAGAATGAAGAAAGATAGAATGAAACTTATTTGGGGCAACAATAAAACTTAAGGTTTTATACAAGGAGGGGGGGGATTTCTCCCTCCCTTCCACACAGTGACGGAGGAAACAATCCCACAATCACACCTTGCTGTTGCAGACCAGGGGCAGAGATTGACGCCTCCCCACATGGTTATAAATCTGGGCTGTTAAATCCCTGATCTCTCAGGGAGATTCTAGTGCAAGGCTTTGGTACAAAGAGCTCTTAATTAACTAATCAAACAGTTAAAGATCTAGCCACACTGTAAGCCTAGCCTGTTTCTGTCTAGGAACGTCGACAAGCATTAACACTACACTGGACATGAAAAAGAATCCAGAAGACATGGCAGTACATGTACAGGGATGATTAATCCGGGTCTTCAGTAAGATTTGGCTTGTAGATCAAAGGATATTTCACATCCTACTGTGTTTGCTTTCCGGATGAAACTGAAGGATCTGAGAATGGCCGAGCAGAGATGAGGCACACCAAAATCTCCCCCCTTTCCCCTCGGCAGAAACAAGGAACGAGCCCGGAGTGAGATTCTATAGGTCTCAGGTCTCACACCGAGAGTTTCTGTACATTAATCTGATGCAGCTCAATTGTACTGCGCTAAATAATAATAATTGGTCACTGTTGATTCCAAGCAATCTTTTTATTTGCAAAAGAAAAAAAAAAACATGTTACCAAGAGGAGAGTGGTAGATTAGGGGGAGGTGTGTGCATATGAGTCTTACTCGGGAGATTTCAGTCATAATTGTCAAAGTGTTTCAATGTTTTAATAACCCGAATGACCGTGTTTAATGTCACTTACGTAACCTGTGTCAAACGACAGTGTTTAACAAACCATGTGGGAGAAAGACTGAATTATTGAATACATTACTCTGGTTCCAGAGCTCAGTAATCCTGCAATCTGCTGTGGATGCTCCTAGAGCACAATCAGTGCATTTAAGCAACCAGAAAGCATGGCACCTCAGATGTTGATAGTGACCGAGTCAACAGGCCACAGCTAAATGCATTCCCCACCAACAGGAGTGACATTTGCTCCCCCAAAAATCAAGAATCAGCTTTCAATCTTGCATAAATGTTGGAGATGCATAAGGCAAATCCACTAAATACATATGTGGCTTTTTAAATCTAAAACAGAAAAGAGCTTCTGCGGTATTTAGTTGACTTGAACGTGTTGCCAAAGAAACAAAGCAGCAACAAAAATGTCAAATCTGAAGAAAAGACTGCAAAAAGCCAGGCGGAGGCTCCCCAAGACCTGCTATTCAGCCCCCCCACCCCGACACTCCTGCTGAACGACAGCCTGATGAGGCAGCAACTGGGAGAGCAGTGCGCCCCAGACTGGGCTGCTTACTGAGAGACTCGGACACTGGGCAGCAGTACAGGCATCCAGATGGCACAGCACCAGTGAGCTTGGCTACTCTGGGAGAAGGCTAGGGTCTCCCCCCTGCGTCTTGGTGAGTCTACCATGAAAAACCCACACTCACACACACACACACACACTGTTGGCTGGAGGGGCAGGGGTTACAATACACTGTGTGACCTTGTCCAGTATGGATACCTGGGTGCAAGTATTTATAACACAGACACTGCCAAACTCTTTTAAAGTTAACTGCAAACGGGCTAAGCAGTCACCAGTTTCCCCAGTACTACCAAGAGGGAGTTCATGTGCCTAGCAGGCTGGCAGAGACTGGCACCAGGAGCGCCCTCCAGTGGCTGTTTTGGCTACAACTACGCCACTGACCAGGCGAACGTCAGCGCGCGCCCCAGACGGACACACCCTGTGGCGGCTGTCCAGTGGCTGCGGAAAACGAACCACTGGTAATTAAAGAAGCAGCAGCACGTTAGCTGGCATCCAGATGGCCAGACTGAGGCGTTTGCCGCATCTAAATCAATACTGCGTGCCTGCCTAACCTTTAAATGAGCAAGCCCGACTGAACACACTCACTCTTCATGGTGTTTATGAATGGATAATTAGGTATTTAGTTAATTAAAAAGAATCATTTCAATAACTGAAACCATTATTAATACCTGACACTCTCCTGCCTGGCCTTGTGCCCTTGTGTGCACCACATACCAACAGATTACTATCTGGAGTACAGGTTATTATTGTACTGTAATTATAGACCGGTAAGTTTTACTGCTGCTACTTGTAAGGTCATATAAACCATAATTAGAACTAAAGCAGTGAATCATCTACAAGACTGTAGGAGTTTTAGGGCATAGTCAATATTGAATTGGGAAGAAACAGTAGCTCTTAAGCTTTTTTGAAACAGCTGCGATGGATAAAAACGGGACAGGATATACATGATATGGTATATTTAAATTTTCACAAGGTTTTCGAGAAACCATTCATATAAAATAATAGAAAGAAGCAGACATCCTAGGGAGTGCATCAAGTTGCGAGAACACTTGAGCTCAGGAGGCTTGCTGATATATAAATATAAATATTCTGGAGCCAGTTTATTCTGGAGTGACTGTTGACTGTCGGTGACTGTTGTGTGGTTGAGCAGGGGGTTTTCCTGATAGCACCTGGGCAGAGAGTAGAACATAACACAGAGGACAAACTGATGTGATGGAACTAGTGGAGTACCACAGGGATCTGAACTAGGGTCACTGCTCGTCTTGATCATTATCAATAATCTAGATAGAGTCAGGGGAGTAGGAGTTCATGGATAACATGAACATACAGTAAAAGACAACTCTGTTTTCGATCTGGGATTAAAGAGCAGAGACCAGGTACAGTAAAGGAGTGCTATGGCCTCACAGGCTAAAAGAACATATTTTTTTTCCATCTTGAACAGGTAAGACTATGGGGGACCTGGTTCTTGTGTTCAAAAGTCACACGAGTGGTAATTTCAGACAAGTGCATTTAACACTTTTCATACAAAGTGTGGTGTGAGTATAGAACAAGCTGCCCAGCCCTGTGGTTGAGGCTGATATCCTGGATTATTTCAAGAAACAGCTGGGTGAGATTCTCGGGTCTATTAAATGCTAGAAACCAAAGGAGCTAAAGAGGCCAAATGATCTAAAAAAATATTCATTATTATTCATTATTAAGGTTACTCATATTTCTCCAAATATACAAGCAAGACAGTACTGAGATGTAAAGATTTCGTCTCGGCGTATATTTCAGAATATCCAATTTAAAATAACTTTTTTTGAAAACTCATGCTTAACACATTAGTAAACATTTGTATCTCTCCATAATACACAGCAAAAGTTGCAAGATTCTTTCTGTTCTCTGGCAAGAAATGAGAGCAACAATCAAATTGCCGTTACACAAAAAAACAACCTCATAGTAACAAACATTGACTTAATAAAAAAAGGAACAAATTCATCAAATTAAATTTCTGAATCTCCAAAGTACTCTCTTGGTTAATAAAGGCAGCAAATCTTTAGAGAGAGCTCACCAGGTGCTGAATCTAATTTTCCTCACTAATCTTATGATGGAATTGCCTAAAGTTATAATTGAGCCTTCGCACATAGCACAGGGTCCTAAACCCTTTCCCGAGTTCTGCTGAAAATGAGCTAACAAAGTCTATTGCAACTCAAATACAGCAGGTCTCTGCACTTAATGTTCTCGATTAAGCACCACGAGGCTCGGTGTTTTGCTGTAACACTCTGCAATGAAGAGAGGTGTGAAGAGGAACAGAATAATGCTTGTAATGAGGTCAGCGCAGTGATTACACAGTCCGGCACCTGAGCCGCCGCCTTCTGTCATGGTCAACTCTGCGGTGTGTGATCTGTTTCCGTGGCAACTCGGCTCTCTATTGAAACCGGGTGGACAAAAACAAAACTGAGCCACTAAAATCAGACCACGCTTCCTGCTGTCGGTGTGAGATCTTAAAGTGTCCTTTTTTTTTTGTTTCCCTGCTACGTGCAGCTCGATGTCGTTTTTTTTTTTTGTGCTTTCTGCAAATCTGGCCTTTTAAACTCTCTGTGCTTTAATGAGCAGAGCTGTGACCAGGGTAGACCCAGCCAGACACACAGCCCCGGCCCAAGCAAGGGCCGAGACTGGACATGCGGTTCCGAATGCCGGTCTCGACAGCCCGCGGGGCGAGTTGTCAGAATACGCTTTGAATGCATTTTTACCTCCGAGGTTCCTGAGGAAGTCCAGCTGCACACCGATGCCCCGTGAGTTAACGCGCGCTGCTCGCGCCAACGGCGATGGGGGCTGGGGGCCCGCTCCGGCCAGCCGCTGGTCGAGAGGTGGCCGATCAGAAAGGTCAGGCCAGCAGCTGCCGCAGGTCCGGCTCCAAGCCCTTCTCGCTGAGCTGCTCCAGGCTGTAGTAGCGATGCACCACCTGCTCCTCGGTCACCACCACCACCCTCACGCCATGGGGGTCCGTCCCAAGCTGGCAGCCGATGGCCGAGGTCACGACCATGTCCAGGCCGCCGTGCACCCCCCCGGCGTTGCGGTGGTAGTGTCCCGAGAACACAGCCTTCACTCCTGGAGCCGAGAGAGAAAGACACAAGGTCAGGAGGCCCAAACGCAAACCCCACCACCAGATACACTGTTGCCGAATCCGTCGTTGATGCCCTCCCTTTAAAATCAAACTGAAAAAACACACTCGAGTTCTGTAAAGTCCTTTGCCAGGCATTTAACTCAAGTATAAAACCTATTAATGTATCACTGCTGATGTGCTGCTTGAAAAAACCCTCCCCTTCACACAATCTCACGCTTTACATATTGAGCTTCAGGGGTGAGACAGCTCATTGCCAGACGAGCAATGAGTCGTCTCTCCGGAGGGACATCAGTATGTAATACTGTGATTTAGTGAACAAGCTCCATTACCTCGTGAGTCTCAGTGTTGCCAGAGAGCTAACCATTATCAATGAGTCTGTAGCAGCAGAATTCAGTGTCTTGATAGGATAAGGATGAAGCCCGCATTCAGACTCAGTTCACCTGGGTGCTTAGATTACTGCCTAGCTGTACAGTGACATGTTTGTCAGCAGCTGAGCTACCTATTCCAGTCCAGACGAGAGAGGCACCTTTTCTTTCTTAAACCTCTGTACTAATCTGCTGAGCTGTCAGCAAAAAAAAAAATCACGTTCCCAACTTCAAAAAGCATCAGACATTTATCAGCTTATTGTCACTTCTGCATTCTGTTTTAGAGATGTGTACACACGTTTTTTTGAAAAAGTAGATTCTCTCTGTTCTCTGACAACTTTCCGTATCCTAACGGCCCAGCAGTTATTGGAATATCTACATAATAGCTACCCTGTTATGCATTAAGATCATGAATTTATCGTTTTAAATAAAAATGATAGTCAAAGCAAGAGCAGACTGCAACTATGCGGACACAAGTGCTGTACATGTACCAGGTGTGAGCACATTCGAGCTCAGGAGGCTTGCCGATAATATTTTGGAGCCAGTTTATTCTGGAATGACACAGTGACAGTTGTTTGGTTGAGCATGGGGTATTTCTGCTACAAGCAGAGTGTGTATGCAGTGTTTCTAAACACAGGGCTGAGGCACAGTTGTGAGGATGCCATCAACAAGTGCCATCATTCGAAAATACCTCCTGTGGTGCATTTTGATGAAGAAGGATGGAAGAACTTTCCAAAGGCGAGCGGCAATTTATCTTGTGTTACAACATTGTTTTTATGCAGAGGTGTTCATGACTAGTACTATCACTTAATGATGAGTGACCTAAATGACATATGGAAAAAAATGACTTCTACAAACACCTCCATCGAGGTAGCTATGTGATGGCATTGCCTGTTGGCAAATACCGAGTATTTTCTGTGATCTTTCCAGAATACACACGCTGACATTCCAGAATACCTGGTGTATTTACACTGGAAAACGTCTACCAGAATCCTAAGGCTTGTTCACCCTGGCTAGAAAACAAACACAGCTTCCGAGAGAACAGGAGTTCAGACAAGAGAGGATACGGATTCTGGAACACGTGCAATGAAGTTTCCAAAAAAGAAGTTGGCAAGAAAATGCCCAACTGTGTTCTCTTTCTGAAATATCTGTGCTTCTGAAAGATCTCAACGCGGCTTTCTAACACAAGAATCACCACCATCATTGCAATAATGAAGACCAAGTCAAAAGTAAACCTGATCTGGAAGAGAGCTAAAACAACTGTTGCTTACGCCCGAAGAAGGCTCCACAGCCGAAACGTTGTGTTTTCTTTCTTCTCTTTTCAGCTTGGAATAAACCTTTGCGGCCTACGCATGCTGACGCAGCTACCCACCTGAACTAAAACAACTGTTGTTTTACAGCTTTTATTAAATTGACATTTCTTTTATACATTACATCCTTTACAACCATTACCTTTATTACAATAAACCTTTTCCCGATGATAAATTATTTAACTGAATGTCCTGTGTTTTTATACAAAGACCTTATTTGGTATATTCTGTGATATTATCTTCAGGGGCACTCAGCTCATGTGCACACTTTCAAGCTCCTCAACCATGTGTTTTAAAGACCTGGGAGAGAGAGGAAGCCATGAATCACAAAACAACTTTAAAGCAATTCTTTCTGGCATCTGATAAGGCAACACTGACATTTTAAAAGAGATTTTCATATTTTCAAAGCTAAAAATAAAAGGTGTGATTTGAGAAGGCAGTGACAGTAAAATGAAAGCATCACGTACAGTACATCTGCTGCCTGCAAATGTACCCTCCTCCCAGGTGAAAGCCAGGTTGCGTGTCACGATTTTGAGGATGATGTTATAGGATGTCAGTGATAACCTGTTCCTCAGTTCTTCAGAGACTCTCAGGTGTTCAAACATTTTTCTTAACACTCCCTCTGTGCCAGTGTTGTTTAACACTTTTAAATCATGTTCCATATTAGTCTGGAGGGTACCAAAACAGAACATTATTTCATACTAGAGTTTCAGAATTTAATGACTCATTACATTCACCTACATTATCCTACTGGAACATCTTGAATGTGCTGGCTGGCTTTTGATGCGCTGGTTTCACAAAGTCAACACAGAACGGTAGCTGTGTTATTAATCAATTATGTATAAAGTATTCATCGCCGGCGCTGACTGGCCTTCAAAATAGAATACACCTCACCTAGCACTCCCCACCCCTGGCAGGACAGAGCAGAGGTCGGCTGCCCCTCTGCGCTCTGCCTCCACAGAGGTGCGGGATCTCGATGCGGCAAAGTGCTTAGGGCGATTCTACAGAAGCCCCCCCGCCCAGCTAAGAGTGTCCCTCTGAAGCAGAACTCGGAGAGCTCTCATACAGACCACGTGTCAGTCAGCAGTGCCTGTCTGGACTGGAAGCAGCTCCCAGCCTCTTCCTGAATGACGGATATTGGAAGAAATGTCCAGCCCTGAGCGGCAACAGAGAGTGATATAAATGTGTCATAAATTGCTACCACTTCCTCTGACAAGAAAACAGTTCTCAAGCATATTTATTGTTTTTTTCTTTAAATTCTGCTGCTTATTCTATGCAGATTACACCCCTTACATGAGACTAGGCTAATATTCCAAGTCTCCTGAGCTTAAACATGGTTTTGATCTACCTACGACACAAACACAGCCTCTTAGCTAGATGTTGTCAAACTGCTAGTAATTTGAGCTTGATAATACAACACACTTGACGTTTTTCTGCTAAATAAATATTCATGAAGTAGAGGTTAATTCTGAAGCACAGATGGACTCAGTTACCCAGCCAATACAAGTGCCTGCCAATATCTCGAACCCCCAGGGTCAGACAATAAGCAGCAATTAGAAGCAAACTAAAAATTAAATTAAAATGGTGCACATTCTGTCACAATTAAAAAAAATCACAATTTAAATTACCACAATGCAAAATAGCTTTTTTAAAATGGAGCAATATTACATTATAATTTTCTCCATAAAACAATCACAACATAGATCAAAAAAGAAATCCAAATACCTAGTCTGACAATCTCACACAGCACAAAAAAAAACAACAAGATCTGCCTCTATACAGCAGCAAAACAGAAATAAGGAGGGGTTACCTTCATGTTGAAAAGTAAAAAGGACCAAAAGATCTGACCAGGATGAGTGGCCGCCTAATACTACCCTGTAGCATTTAGCCAATTTCTAGGGAAATCCTGGTCAAACAGGGCTCACTCAGGCTCAAACCCCTGAACACGGAGCTCAGCCTATGACATCTGGGTGAGTGCCTGCACTGACTGAGCCACGGGGAGGGCCCCAGATCTCCAAATGTTTGCTGATCATGGTTCTTATATAATCTCACGAGATACAAGCTCTGCAGTATGACGTACCCTGGTAAGATTCTACATACATGAACACAGACTCCAGGTGAATCACCTGAGATCCACAGGGCTTCCATTCCTCCGCAGAGCAGCAGACAGACATATTGGAACCCTCTCTCTCTGAACACTATTAAATATACTGTACCTGGTGCCATTAATCCTAACTGCTAGCTTGGGAATATATCACTTTAACCGAATAAATGAATAACATTATTTTAAGGATGTGATGAAATTAGAGGGCTCAAATATCATCCTCTCTGCAGTGAATTCTCAGTCTTGCACTTTCTAACCTGACCTTGGAAATACCCTAAATTTACCAAACCAGAACTGTAACATTTGGACAGGTACAAATAATGGCTGAGACTCCTTTAAAACGTCCTTTAAAGGCTTGTCAGCAAGATAAAATATATACTGTATTTATGTAATTAACTTTGAAGAGTCTGGTTTGGAGAATTATCCAAGAACAAGTGTGATCAGGAACAAGTATTATCTCTGTACAATACTTTCATGAGGCCAGTAATGTCAAACACTTGTCTCTTGAAATGAAGGAAGAAATACACAGTGTCTATTATACGTTGCAGGTTCCTACTGCTCAGTCGCTCTGTAACACACAACAGCAATTTAACGTAATTTTTCCTTGGGTCCCTTATCTATCCAATATACTCCCCACATACATTATTCTTCCAGAAATTCGACTTAATTTGTCTCACAATCCGAGAGCGACTGCTCACTCAGACAGAAACTCTCATTTCCGAAGAGATCCCCAGGGAGGAATTAAGAAGCAAAAGCGATCAAACAAAATGCCAAAATGACAATTACTTAAAAGAATACAGAACGGATACGCGTCACACATTTTACTTAAGAATTTTTTGTCCTTAAAATATTGCTGTACAGTATTACATGTGCCGCTCATAGGAGTATAAATAAAACCACAGACTGCGACAGAGATCAAACTGTTTGCAATTGCAAAACATTCCGAGTTGCACCTGTTTCTAACATTCACAGTAGCCGGCTTTGATCGGATGGCTTTCTTAACCTCAAGCCTCAGACAGGTGCTGACTGCAGGAAGGCCAGGGATGAGAGCTCTTCCGTCTCATCTGCACATCTGCTCTGATTCAAGATTATCGGAGACATCGAGATTCGCCACGTGTCTCTCCCAGACCCACCTCTGTCTTAGGAAAAATGGCCTGACTGTTCCACAGACATGAGCCTTTACCTGGTTCGGCTTCCATGTCCTC